ACCTTTGAGACTGGAGAGAGCAGCCCGGTGACGGAACAAGTTGATCGTATATAGGACGAAGGTGACGCCAAACAGGATGCTGCATTCTATTAGGCAGGGACACTGACGAACGAAGGACCCTAATACTCACAAGTTGATGACTGAAAGCGCAAGGGCGACATACATGGTCGCAGAGAGGGGATCAGTCGATCGTTTGACAAGCCCACGTTTGTCATGGAGGTCTCTCTTGTAGTTGACACAGACTCCGGCGTAGCAGACCGAACCGCTACCATCACTCCCACCGCCGGAATAGTCGACGCCATCGTAGCTTGAAGTGTAGCTTGTAGCCTGGACAAGTAGGGCGACCTTGTCGGCTGTGAGGGCGAAGGTACAGAGCCAAAAGATGAGGACGAAGAGCTCTACAGCAAAAATAGCCCAGTAATTGTAAAGATGGGTGTTGCCTGGGCTGTTGGCCACGAACCAGTAGATCAGAAAGATGATGCTGGCGAGACCTGTGAAAAGGCTGATGCCGCCAGCCTAACAAGTGTCAGGTAAAAACTTATAGAGTCAAGCCGGGGATCTCACATCATAGTTCGGTGCCAGAGAAAGGTGATAGCAGGCAATCCCAAACACGATAACGGTCAAGATCATCTGGACAATCCTGAAAGGAAAGAAGATGCGCTGCACAGGCACAACAGAGTACCCCTCTCCGGAAGACATGATGGCTTAATAAGTATATAGAAGTCTCTGATAGGTTCAGAGTAGAGGATGATGACTTGGCTAGAACGGAACGTGAACGATATGGAAGTAGAATCAACGAGCGACTTGAAATCTCTGTGAACAAGGAACGGAATGGGTTGAGCCATCAAGGATATTCAAACAGGAAGCGCTCCTATTTATGCAGCAGCAGGAAATACCCTGGTTCTTGACAAACATGGTACTTACACAAGAGAAATCTTTTGTACAGCAGAATGGGAAATTGCCACCGCCAAAGGGCTGCAGAAATACGAACATGTCAAGGCACACATCCTGGATGGCAGGCCAGGTTGCCGATATATTTGGAACGTATAGTCTCCTGAGATAGATACGAGGGATGAAGTCTAACAGGGCCAATAGTGACTCTCGATGTCGGAATAAGGGGTTGAGGGGGCCCCTCTATGCCCGTTCCGGTCGATGTCTTGGCGCGTGCCAAGGCCCTAGGCAAGGCTTGAGGCGCACCCGTCCACATCAAGCAACCTGGATTCTGGGTGCATCTCTCAGCCTCACAAACACTCAACTGTCCTCGCCAAGCGAAACTCTGCCTTGTCCAATTTCCACAGGGCCAGCCTGTTGGCCAGCTTTGAGATGTGTAGTTTCGGCGGTTACCAATGTGTCAAAGTCCTACATGGTGAGTCCCATGCTGAGTAGCGAGGGATACCCATGTGCCCACTCCCATGTCTACCCCTGACGTCCATGAGCTATTGGGGGAAAGAATCGAGCTGTGAAACCAAGCATATACAGAGCGGGAGATCGCGGCCAAGACCGCTATAAGGCTGAGTCTCATGTGGTTTGACTAGCTTCAGTGAAGCTACCGAGAACACATGGATATACACCGTCATGGAAAGAGCTGAAGATGGTCTAGAAACGCCACAGGGAGAGTTGCAACTCTCTTCAGCAGACCTGGTCCCCACGATACGAGGACTCGAGGGGTCATTGACAGCAAGGCTGGATTCTACAACAGTTCTACCTCCTTTTATTCGACCAGTCGCGTCTGAATCGAGAATGACTTCGCAGACAACACGAGAAATCAGGGTCACCATACGAACGCCGCTTTCAACAGTTCAATAGTTTGTCACAGTCCCAGCCACAGCGTCTGAAAATGCGCATTACGTCTGTTACCTTGTACCCGTGATCAAGCAGCCCCTGACCAACCGTTGGTCGAGAGTCTACTTCTCTTCCCAATCAGTCAATCTCATCCCCTACCGCATGTTTCCTGCCAAGTGCACCTCGTATACTACCACTCCCTCGTGTGGAAGTTGCCTCGAGGCAAATGGCCATCTGCAGAGCCAGCCAACAGATGGGGGGGTTCGTCTCTTGCAGCCAGAATCTCGGCTGCTGACCAGACGAAAGGCAATCTCCTCGACCATATAGAGTCGGAGCGACCCTCGTTGACTTTGGTCGAGACAGCCAACCCGGGGCAACATCATCGTCCTTGTCAGGATGTATCCCTTCTTTCTGGTTCTGCCATTTGTCGTTCTTTTCGCGAGCATTGCCGATGCTTATCTCCTTCCACGAGATTCGACACCGGTCTGTACCAACCTGCGAGCCAATTCAAACAATGGCGATCGCAAGGTCGCCCTTGTGATTGACAGCTCTGGTTCTATGGAACTATCAGATCCTTACCTATATCGACTCAGTGCTGCCAAAATGGTTCTCGACTGGCTTATTTCCAAGGACGAGGTAACCAGCACCCAGAAGCAAGACAAAGTCACCATCATCAACTTTGACGATGAAGCCTATCTAGACTACCCTCTTGGAGACCCCGGTGCAGCTGCAAGCTCGCTTGCAGGGATCGGCGCAGATGGCGGCACCTATATTGCAGGTGGTGTTCAAATGGCCATTAAGCAACTCACTGCTGTCAATACGGGAGACACCTCTGGTCGAAGTGGAATCCTAGTCTTCACGGACGGGGAGGTACGTAGATATTGATATTGACCTGTCCTTATTTTGGCTTGCTTTCTCAGCAACCCTTTTTTTATCTACTTCCTACAAACATCTTGACCACCACGACCTCTTCAAATGTTATTGCTGTGTTGCTGACTGTTCTCTCAGGACTATAGCACCTCGGATCTCGTGGATCAGATTAACCGTGCTAGCGGCCTCGGTATCAGAGTGGCATTCGGATTTCTGGACTCGTCTTCTAGCCTGCAGGACACCGACGTCCTTGCTGCGATCATGAACTCCGGGGGAAGATATTTTACCATACAGAACTATAATGCCTCAAAGGCTTTTATCGACGGCATCATTGTCAATGGTCTTACGAGGAACGACAACCCGGACGGAGACACGACCACTTTACTGGCTGGTCTCGATGCATCACACTTCATTTCAGGCTCCGAGACGCAGACCATGTCGTACAGCGCAAGATCCAAGGAGCAGCTGACGTTCAATGTCCAAAGCGTCGATGCCGGCACCCTAGCGGTTCAAATCGTGTCTGGGAGCAAAACTCTGGCCAAAGGCGAAGCGGACTATTACTCCAGTTACTATTCCAGTGGATTCTCCGTCGTCGCTCCCAGTACCGGCACGATCGACGTCAAGGTCACGGCGGACAGGGCCGACAAGAACTCCATCTTCGTCGTCGGGGTTACGTCGAACCTGCCTCCCGAGAACTGCACAGTCGGCGTTGTCGGCGACGACGAACCGAAGCACAACAACACCCCCCAAATCGTCGAGAGTTCTGTTGGCAGCGTGGTTGGACTGGTCATCTTGAGCGTGATCGCGTATCTGCTCCACAAATACTGCTACAAGAGGCACGGGAAACGCCACCCTCTTCATGACCATCCGTCAGATTGCCCGCAAGATCCGAAGCACCCTACACAGACAACGCGAGAGATACCGGGGCACAATCCGTCTCGCATACCATGGTTCAGCTTCCCGCCGGCCCTACCACCAACGCATGGTCAACCACCTAACCCGCCGAGGACCACTGATAATCACGACCGCGACTGGGATGAACACTCCTGCTCAGACGTCCCCAGCGACGACAATTACGATACGCCGTCGCAGTTTTCAAACCCACCGGACAAGCCGAACCACTGTGGCCCACCTTACCACACCGCCAACCCGCCCTGTCAGCCCCCGTTTCAGAACGACATCCCTCCGTACCAGAATGGCAACCCAACGAACCAGCCGTCCTATCCCAACCAACCGTCGAACCCATCGTCGAACCCCAATCAACCATCCCACCCTAACCAGCCATCACAACCCAATCAACCCTCCCACCCCAGCCAGCCACAAAATCCCGATGAGCCGCCTACCAACCCGCAAGACCCCGGCCAGCCTGAGCCTCCGCCTGAAAATGAGCCCGAACACCACCCGCACGCACACATGCGCCTCCGGACATACGGGGACGAGCACCACCACCACATCCCGCCATCGCACCCGTGCTACCGGAAGAGATGCCCGATCGCGTCCACGACCCACGTATGCGGCGACGACGGAACAAGCCATCCCTGCACGTGCGTCGACCCGAAGTGCCCGCTGAACCAGCCGCGCCAGCTGCTCCGGCAGCACCGGTGTCCCGACCCCGCGATGCCGCACACCTGCGCCGGACCGGACCTCGACCCGCGCTGTCCGCTCAACGACCGGGACTACGCCCGGCGGAAGAAGCAGGAGCGCGACGCCCTCGTTCGGAAGTATGTCGCGCAGGACCTGGCTTTGGGCGGCGTGAAAGTCGCGGCCTCGACGGCGGCTCAAACCGCGCTGATTTCCCAGTTATAATAGCGCAAGGGCAAGGGGTTTTCCGAGGGGGGAATGGATGACGACGTGGATGAATGAGTCTGGTGGGAGTTGACTGAGGCAATTCGATCCGTGTCGACCTGCTCATATGATAGTGGCGTCCAGTGGGAGAGTGATAGTAGAGGTAATGTGAGATATCTCGAGTACTTCAGGCTCTGGTTACACAACGGTCGACAAAGCCAATACGCTGTAACTGGAGATATCCTGCTTGGGAATTCTTGGTGTTAACAAGGCTCCTTATTTATACTCACAAGCTCTAGGAGGCCGCCGGCGATAGATAGAAAAGGGGGAATGGAACGGACAAAAAGATTCAAACAGCTTCAGCCTTGTAATTCCCTTTCCCTGAGGGAGGAGTCAATAACACTCTAGCTCAAAAGTCCACCAACGCCTAACTAGTGCTGTACATTAGACGCAAAAACAGGCCTGTTGATGTTGGTACAAGTCATCGAATCAACTCGTAGTCGTCCCAGAAACCATTCGCCGTTTTCCTTCTTGAGATGGGAGTTCACCAGACCTCCAAAAAGTCAAGACATAGCCTTCCTCTCCTCCTTCTTTTCGTTCACCGTCTTCGCCCACTTCTTGCCGACTTCATAGCTGCTAATCATGATTGCGCATGCTGGCGCAACTTTCAAACATCGAGCGGCCCAACCCCTGAAAAGCCCACTGATGCCTTCCTCGGTCCAAATATGGTAAAGAAAGCGTGGTATCGAGAGCTCTTCTGGGATATGCTTTCCGGCTTTGGCGGCCTCTCGTGCTGCCACCACGGAGGGGGCGTCGTCTCCAGCATGGTGATAAACTTGTTGACGAGTCTTACCCACATCGAATGGTGTGGTGACAAAAGCAGCAACAGCGCCAGAAGCCGCACCTGCAATGAAACTGTCAACAAAGGTAGTTGTGTGGTTTTCGTCAGCTTGAGCTGATCGTCCGCTGGTCATGGAGCGGGAAGGATCGAGATCATGGCCTTTGGCCACTTGGCGAGCATCGGTCAACTTATTGCGGATCGCTTCGTATCCCCACCAATAGATGCCGGAAAAGGGCACATCCCGCCACATGGTCAGTGTCAACCCACGCCATAGCGATGTGTATCCCTGTGTCTGGGTCATGCGGTGCAGCCCTAGTAAAGTTTCTTTAAATACACCCGTGTCGATTCCAGAGGTCGCTTGCATTCGAGTTCGGAACATTTCGATGGGCGAAACCGAAATAGCAGCTGCTACCCGTGCAATCGAGCCAGCAACGAGAGGAGCGTAGGTATCAGAGGAGATCTTTCTTATCGGACTGTTGCGATGGTAACGAAGCCAGTCGTAGCCTGTGAAATAAATGACGTTGGCAGGAATCGCCATGACCAGTGTCGGAGAAAGCCCCCGCCATAACGTCGAATAGCCTTCGTTCCTGGCAATCTTCTTCAAGCCGTCAAGGGTCGAAGTGAAAGTCCTTCGTTGGGTTTCTTCAACGGCACATTCAGCAGCGATTGCTGATGACCCCTGTGCGGAGCCATTTCCTGCGAGGCAGAACTGACCATTATTTCCAACAAAAAACACGTCTCGACAACATGAGTTGACACCCAGGTCGGGCGGGAGGTGTTTGAAGTTCGTCGAGTAGGCGGGAAACCGGGAGAGATTCGAGGGGGAAGGAGGTTGCTGGGATTGTAATCGTACACGCACGACGTCGAGCGGTGTCACTGTGGAAGAGTCAGTAAGGTTTGGTGGTATATCATGGTGAGATCATGACATACCCAGCAGCGAGGTCAAGATACTCCCCCAAGTGGCGGAGATCATGCGTTGGGCGGTGGTTATCTCGATATTACTAGAGCCTGACATGTTGCCAGTATTCTGTTGCGAGAGCAGAACTCTGTCATGCCGTTGTCCCTCAGTTTGTAATGGTTGTTGGGCATCGTGACCAAGCGCGTGTTGGGAGAGGGGATGCTCGTCAAGCGACTGCGCAGGCTCCGCAGTGAATGAGTAGGACATTCAAGCCGGGGGAGCCTGGAAGAGTGAAGACTGGTTCAGAATAGAGCCGTGGTCCTGCGAGATCAACTTCAATGCTGGTACATCTATCCCAGGAGAACGATATGAGGTTGTAGGGCGTGAGGAGGCAATTATGACATGGAGACTTTTTGGCTGGTGCATGGATGAGAAATTGACCTGCGGCCAAAAAGACAAAAAGATCGTCAGAGGAGAAAAGACCGAGCATTGCTCGGCCGTTATCGGCCACCTCCAAACGGGAAAGCAAGCCGACCACTCGGGCTAGTGTCGGCGATAACACGGGGATTAGATAAGCAGTACTACTGTAGGTACGTACCTCGCGTACCTCATGCCCTTTGCCAAATGCCACTCATTCCTTTGCCATACCTAGTTGATTGACTCCCCACCATTTGTACTACTCGAATAGATATTGGCGACATCTATTCGGTCCGTTCCAACCCCGTTTCTCGATATCGAACAACTGGGGAAAACTCAGGGTGATCCATCCCTCCTAGCGAGACCGTCTGCGACCCCGCTGAGTCAATACGTAAGGGAAGGCATCATGGCTGAGCAGGCCGCGGAACTCGAACAGTTCCGCCAGCAGTGGAAGGAAGAAGTCAGTGCTCGCGCTAGAAAACCAGAAAAGAAGCCTCTGTCATCAGCACAACACAGACACAGAAGGACCAGCGATGGCCGACCCGAGAGACCCGTCAACAAACCTCCGACTCGCCATCCCGCGGCAGATATCAAACAGGACGACTCTGACCACTATAGCGATGCCGATCAGGCTGGCGGTAGCAGTTCAGCCACGATCCACCAGCGCATGGAGACATTGAAAATCCATAATGTGGACGATGACGATTTTACCACGAATGCCTCTTCCAAGAAAGAACCCATCAGTGCGTTGGAACATTTCGAGCGCGCTGTCGAAAAGGAGAGTCAGGGGAACTTGGGAGATAGTCTCTCCCACTACCGCAAAGCGTACAAGCTCGATTCAAAGGTCGATCAGTCATACAAGAACAAACACTTCCCTCAGACAGCCAAGTCAAAAGTGTCCAACCCAAATCCCTCCAACGCCCCTGTCACAGTCCCCTCAACCGCCCACCACTCCCTCAAAGAACCCGACCCGTCTAATATAACTTTTTCTCAATTGATCGACTCCTTTGCACACGCTCAGATCGAAGGTGCACCGCCCGTTATTGAGGGAGATCGTCCTCCCCCTTGCGTTATCAAGAAGCTTCCCGCGGAGGTATTGCTGGAGTTGCTCCGACACATAGCAGTTCGCGATCCGGCCATTTATGTTCGACTGTCTCTGGTCTGCAAGAAGTTGGCATATCATGTCCTAAGCGACAACGCTATTTGGAAACGTGTGGCCATGGGCGCCGAATTCGGCCTGGCCGGGCAGCGTTACGACTTCAACACCGATTTACAAGGTCGTGAAATCACCTTCCGTGCTCTGGATGAAGACCTGGCAGATGAAGACTTGCCGGGCCCCGTACGAGTGACGGACCTCCCATTCCCTAAGGACACTATCTGGCGCGAGGTTTTCCACAACTATCCCCGCATTCGCTTTACGGGTGTATACATCTCTACCGTCAACTACACTAGGCCGGGTGCTGCTTCTGTTACGGCGAGCACGTGGACCAACCCGGTGCACATCGTGACATATTACAGGTACCTACGTTTTTTCCGTGACGGGACCTGCATATCTCTTCTCACAACCAACGAGCCCATCGAAGTGGTTCACCACCTGACACCGGAGAACCTGACCTTTGTCCGTTCGGGGAAAAAGGAGGCCACACATCCCCTGAACTTCACCTCCTCTGCACCCGCCCAGCTGAGAGAATCCGGCTCCTCCAGCATCGCAACGGGTGGCGGTGGAACCAGCACTGCAGCAGCACCACCTCCATCGGCACGAGACGTCATGAAACACGCTCTCCGCGGCCGCTGGCGCCTGTGCCACCCAAGTCTTGACATTTCAGAATCCAACAACACCACCACCACCACCAACCCGAACCACAGTCACGACCACGCAAGAATCCCATCATCCAACCCCACGCCAACCATGTCCCCAGGCGATCTGCACATCGAGACCGAAGGCGCCGGCCCCCGGTACATGTACACGATGCACCTCTCTCTAAAATCCGCGGGATCCGCCCGCTCGCGCCACACCACCAAGAACAACAAGCTGGTGTGGAAGGGCTTCTGGAGCTACAACGTGCTCACCAACGACTGGGCCGAGTTCCACCTGAGGAACGACAAGCCGTTCTACTTCTCCCGCGTCAAGGGTTACGGGCTGGGTTATTGATTCTTTGTTAGAAGTGTGGCCCTTACCTTCTTAGAGAGCCTCTCGTTACTCAGTATATACCGAGTAGTGCCTACGTACTCCGTAGGTAGTGTGGAGACCTGAACGCCACGCAGATATAGGACATGACGCGCTGGGCATACTCACACACATTGGGTACACAATGCGAGAAGGAAGGGGAGATATAGACCATTTAGATCAATCCATACATGTCGATTGGGTCGCTGATAGACAGGATAGTTGCAATCTGGACACCTCTCTACCTATCCATCTATCCATCTACGCCATCCTATGTATCTGTCTACATATCTACATGGAAGAATCCGACATTACAACCCATCCACCTCATCGCACGATGGGGGTCAATCGCCATGTCCATATGCCTTGTCCATATCCCTTGTGCAACACTTTACAAGACACGGGTCATGTACCCTGGTATCTCGATATCTCGGGCTCTATCTTGGTTTCTTGATATTTGGACAAGTCTACAACCAAAAAAATAAAAAAATAAAAATAAAAATAAAAAAACATTCAACGAACATGCTCCCTGTAATCCAAAAAGCAGAGACGCCCCTCTACGAGAAAATTAAAGGGGAGCAGCTTCTGGCAGGTAAACGGGATCCAAAATATTCTCGGGCATGGCTATGTAGCATTCTGCGCTATGGTATCGGTATCGGGCAAAGATAATTTTGCCTGGTTCGGTAAGGAAAAGACTTGGAGAAAGTACACACGCTTGGAACGCTGTCAAAACACACAAGAAAAAATTTGATAGCACTAATTGTGCTCGCCTCTCTCGATATGCCAAAGAAATGATCGTGGGAGCAGCTTCTTCAGGCCCGCTGTAGGAGGCTGCTGTGTCTCAAGAAATCCTCGACCCCAATGAACTCTGTCGGCCACTTCCAACTGGTACCGGTAATAACGACATCCGTTTCGCTTTCCCACTCATCGCCATAACGCTGCTGGGTCTGGTAATCGTGCGCTTCGACAGAGGACTCGAACTCGGTTCCGTGGTTTGGTCCTCGTCGTTCTCACTAGCTCTGTCATTCTCCTCCGAACCGTCTTCGTTCTTCCTAGGACTGCCTTCCAGCCTGTTATCAAGTCGAGGATTGTGAGATGTTGATCGCAATGGGACATGTGAGGAGCCGTAGCTCCTACTAAGAGATGAAGGTGGACGCTGGTGCGCACCTCCGCTCATTTGAGCCTTGTTTGGATTGGTGACCACGAGTGAAGACGGTGATCTGATGGTTCCCGGCGCTGGAGCACTCGAATTCCTGGTCTTGTGATACGGTACGGGGTCTAACAAACTGCTAGTTCTCGCTGGCAAAGGGTCCGCGACGCGCTCAGCGAAAGACCTGAATTGTTGGCTGTCTCTCTTCGCAAGAGGGTGCAGTGTGGACGGTGATGCGGATGCTTCGCGACTGAGAGGGCTCCGCAGTGGCAGAGCAGTATTGGAAGAGATTGATCGCGGAGTATACCTTCTCGAGGTTAACGGTGTTGTGGTGGATGAAGAACGATACGACGGCGCTATCGTGCTATCGTACGACTTCACAACAGCTGACCATCGGGGTTTGTTAGAAAGAGGTGTTGGTTCCGGTCGCGGTGCAGGCACCACAGGAGGAGTGTAGACGCCTTGACGGTATACAGATGGAGGACCCGGCATAGGGGAGGTTCCACGTCGAAGTGCACTGCTGCTCGAATGGGACATTGGCGTGGTGGGTCGCCGCGTCTGGGGCAGCATCGACATTCGTTTGTTGCTTGAAACAGGAGGAGGCGGCCTGCTGGTCGATGGAGTGCGTTGTTTCGTGTACCCATTCAGACCGTATTTCGATGTAGGCTTTTCGTGTCTTTGTGGGGGAAGATCAACCGACGAGGGAGGAGAACTACCCGGAGTGCCTGCAAAAGTGGTGCTGGTGAACGAGCGATCTGCCGAGACGATGCTCGAGATTGATTCTCGCAGTTTCGAGTTCTGCCGTGAGGTGACGGGCTCCAGGAGGCTGTCAAGGTCATCCATCGTGTCTGTAAGATCCCGCATTCTAGATGATAAATCCTTGTGCAAGCGGAGGATCTCCCCGTTTACCGTCAAGCGGTCCTTGAGGCCTTTTTGGATAATTCCAAGCACCCGTTGGATAGCCGGGCTGTAGTGGACCTTCTTCGCCTCGAAACTCTCGATCCTCTTGGCCAGAGCAGATGGGTTCGTTGCTTGGAAATTTTCGTGGATGGCTTCCTGAACCTTCAGGATACTTCGCTCGACTGAATCGCACATTTTCTGAGCCTGTCGGCCAGCGTTGCGGAACACAATCACCCAACGATCTTCGCTAAGCTCTCTCCGAAGGGTATCTGCCTCCTTTGACAACTCGGTCCAATTTCTCTCTAATCGTGCGCGTTTATCATCGAGCTCTCTGCAAGCAATGGGAAAGATCTTTTCCGCTCGAGACTGGAACATGGACATCCGCATAGGCAAGAAATCCAACGAAGCCCTGAGGGGCTGCATCCTTGCAAAAAGGGCTAGCAAGTTTGAGTCATCCTGTGGGTTTTCGATGATGGGAGATCCAAGGGGGGACGACTCAAATGAAGGAATGCTGAACCGCGAGTTTGGGGTCGTCCGTTTCTGGGCCGGCTCATCGATGAAGCTCTCGAGTTCGTTCAAATCGATATTTTGGCTTGAATCGACGTGAGTCTGTGTTTGATAGGCTGTATGCCTCTTCTCCTCCATCTCAAAGACCATAGCGCTCAGTGCGTCCATCTCTGCGCCCACATCTCCAAGGACTTTCGCCCACAACTCTTCCCATTCCATGGCCAGCTCCACCTGTTCATGCACCTTTTTCAGGTCTTTCCGAACGTCATCCCAGCCGCCTAGAACCGATTCCATCTGTTCGACCACAGCTTGGAGATCTTCAGGATTTGCGTCGCCGATATCAGGACGTGATTGCAGTTCTTCTATTGATAGAACATACATGTTGATCAACGACTCGAACTTGGTTATAGTTTTGTCTGTGTCGTCCAGGCCTAGCCTTCCGGCGGCCGCGGCCCATTCCACATCGTCCTCCGCATCGAGATTTTCCAAAACCTTCAAGGCTTTCTTGATCCATGATTGTATTTGCTCTGCCGCAGTCGATATCGCTCTTACGGCCTTGCGGGCGGTCGGAAGGGAGCTGACGGTGGCAGCGAGGGACTCGGCTTGCGGGATGTTAATTGAGGTCAGGCTCGCGATCTGGCTGCTGAAGGAAGCCCTCGAAAAGGAGAAGACGGAGTTGCTTCTGGAGAGACTGTCTGGAATCACGAAGGAGCCAGCATCACTGCTGGGTTCGGAGGACGCGGAATTGGCCTGGTGTTGGGAAGAGACATCGTTCGACGAAGAGGGAACAAGGAGTTGATGTAGATCGACATCGCTTGGGGTTTCCACCATGGACGGACGGCGGAAAGCAGAGGTCATAACAGCCAGCGAGCGCTGACTGTCCAGCCCGATCAGTTGCTCCAGGTTTGCGGCCAGGGGACCCAGGGAGAGGGTGTAGCTGCAGTTGCAGTGTAGGTCATGCGTAAGGATCACGGTCGACGAACAACTTGCAGCTTAGCGTGTTCAGGAATTGGCTGATCAGATGCTGCTAGCATAGAAAACTGTGTGCACAGATGTTGTGGAACGTGGTTCGAGCGCCAGTTAGTACGCCGGCGATGTTGGCAGGTTGAGTTCTTAAGGTAAAGGGCGACGGTGAGCCGATGGGACGAGGTTGGGCTGGTAGGAAGTTTGTTGGCAGTGCACGCCCCGGGATTTGTTTGGGTAAGATTAAACCAACGAGTGAAGGCGACGAACCAGGCTTAGGGAACGCAGACCTTCCCAGGGCGCGCTTGCGGAGCTTAAAAAATGGGCTGACAGGCGTGACGGGCCACTAGGATTGAGCTGCTTGTACCTGAACAATGCACTCTGACATCAGGCAGTCGTTGAACAGCCTACGAGTACGCGCACAATAATAATAGATATGGGGGGTTCCCTATCGCGTGAATATAAACAATAACCTGGACAAAAGCGCAGCAGCAACATGGATGCGAGAAATCGGTTTTATTCATGTGTTTGGAATGGGGAATGGTGCCCTTTTAAATACCCTCCCAGGTCCCAATGTAGCCTGAAAAACGAGGGGCCACCTACTATCTATCGATGTTTGCACGACAGTCGGATTCTAGACTGACCTGCATCAAGTTTCAGTCAAACCATGACAATCATTTGCCCCCAAATGCACCTGCAACGCCATACCAAGACATGCCGCAAGAGACGCCCGGAATGTCATTATTTGTAATGCACTGAACTCTTGTGCAAACCCCGGGTATTGTCCTCCTGCGCCCCAGTGCATAATACATATTACCCGCTCAGATCACTTCTTCTCGCTCCCAGCCTTTCGACTTGATGTGCTCAATGCCTCTGCCAGGATGCGGTTTGGAAGGATCTTTGTACTCGGAGGCAAACGGGTTGGGATCTTCGGCCTGGTTGAGGTTGCCCAAAGTGTGATGGATCTCTCGGTGCTTTGCCTCGTCAGCCCGGACGTAGTAGAGGAGATCTTTCATCGTCCTTTTCCCTTCCGGCATGTTCCAGTACTTGACGGCAATTTCCGGAGCCTCGAGCTTCTGCCAGCCTGGCAGTTTGCCACTCTCAAGATCTTCAATGGCATAGGTGTATGTCTTAGTCGCCTCCTCTTCTAGATAACCCACAAAGCGGTGGCATGTCTTTGGAGACAAAAGGTATGCGACGAAGAAGGCGTTGCAGAAGACACCCTGGGCACCGAGAATCATCAATTTCATAAACATTCCAGGTTCGGCCATTTTCAGGAATGTCAGGAGGTGCATCCGCTCGTTGTATGCGTCTTCAAGCATGGTCTCAATCCTAAGGAGATCTCTGTCAGCTATGGTCACGGCCAGAATCAGATGCAGTCATCCTCACCATCCATTGTCTCTTTTCATTGCCCGTAGACTTCGCAGATGGCGGAGCATCCCTGCCACCATTCCTGGTACACCAGCCACAGTCTCAAGGAAAATAAAACGGACGAGCCATTTCCTCTCGCTCATTACGTAGGGTTTGTTGGGATCGTGGCGGTAACCAGTGACAAGATCGGTGCCCCATCGTAGGAAGCGTACCGTGTTATATGCAACCCAGTCCGAGGCACCTCGCACATCTCTGTGAGCAATCTCGATCTTTTTGAGTTGTTCTTCTGTTGCAACTGGATGAGGCCATGGTGGAGGACTGCAAATAGTCAGTACAAGGGGTCGCGATATAGGGCCGCCGGACCGTACGTCAGTTTGATGTGAGGGAGGTTCTTGGATGGTGGAAAGAATTCGAGCTGTGCTTTGTGTGAGATGGAGAAGTTCCGTTTTGACTGCGCATCGAATGGCCTGATGGCTGCACAGCTGGTCCTCAGACCCGCAGCGGTGGCAGTCGATGAGAATAAGCCTTTCCTGGCTACACTTGACAAGTTTGCCGTAAGGGTAGGCGTAAAGAGAGCTTTCGACGAGGTCATAGTGGAGGGGGGATCTGTGTTAATCAAAGGAAGGAATGGAAAGGTTTGTTCTGGTTCAGGTCTCCTGGAGTCATGAAAGAGTTGGTCAGTTCATTGAGAAGTGGTAAAGCCCCCGCAGACAATGCCAATAGATGGTTATGTTTTATAGTTCTGTATCAGCATCCGAACTGGTCCACCCCAAGCGAGGAGCGAGGAGAAGGTATGTCAAAGGTTAGGCATCATGCGCCACATGCGCCAATTTCGGAGCACGCTTTAGGCATCCAAGGGCATTTGCGCATTCTAAGATGCAGTGTTGCACATGTGCGCTGCTGAGCAGATTACCAAAAGAACTGGAACAAGTGGAGGAGCAACACGGTTCGAACTCGTATCCGGGATGAGGTGGAGAGGAATGAAACTTCGATGGCCGTGGGATCTTTCATGTTTGTGGTTAGAATGCGCGACCCGCCTGCGCCCAGGCTCCTCCACCTGCACCTTCCCAAAGCTGCTGACTCACGCAAGCTAACCACCATGAACATGGCGGTGGCCCTTGCATCAATATCCCATTTCACTTTCCCTTCCCTGGCAAGAGATACTTTCCAAGTCTAGAAGCGCCCATGAACCTCATACAGTTCTTTGCGTGTAAAATAGCGTTCCCCAGCTCAATGTGAGGTCGCTGACTACTCAATTTAATTGAGGCTTGGCCGCAAAATCACCATTTTGCCATCATGGTCTTGAATCCCGAGAAATCTAGCATTTTCGGTAACTACACGGAGATCGACAGGTACAGCTGACTTGCAAAAGAACGGCAAAGATCGGGACCCTGGAAGGCTGAGCCCATCAGGCTGGGAAAAATGACCTCGAGGTCTCTGAGCCACACAACAGTACAACGTCGGGAGAAACCGGCAACTTTCTAGGTTGAGTGTCGAGGCTGAATATTTCTCGGATGGATTCGCTCAATTACTCATGCTCCCCAAGTAGGTATATGTGACCGATTTGGTGGTTCAGCATGAATCCCTTATTTGCTCAGATTTCTATTCTCACATCCTTGGCCGGGGACCTCGCTTGGGAAATCCGGATATGCAGTCTGATAGGGGAGCCAAGTGTCGCAACTACGAAAGAGGCTATCCTCAAAAATCTCCAATGATGATATCAGTCCCTTTCCTCCAAACTTCCGATTGTATTTGTATCCTCTCGTGTTGTAGATGTGTGTTCAATAAAGCCCGTTGGAGTTTTCTTTTGTCGATTTTTCATACTGAGACTTCGAATGAATTCTCTCCCTCTTTGACACCAATATCTTTGATTTCAAGTTTGACAACGTGAGCAGTTCTAGGTCCAGTGTCCAGATCCGCCTTCAGTTTCTTTAGTGCTTCCTCATCACCCTGCGCTTCTCCGGCTACCTAGAGGTGGAGAGGTATGTCAGCGGGTGGTCTGATGCAAACTGTTTATTGATGAATGTATGGAGAAAGCCCGACCTTTCCATCAGAGGTATTCAAAACGAAGCCTGTGAGGCCATAGCTCGAGGCTTTCCTCTGGGTAAAGTCACTGCCTAGAATCAGACGTGATGCATGATCGATCCTGCGACACCACAGAAACTTACCGAAAGGCGACGCCCTGCACTTTACCATGGACTTTGAATGCAATTCGTTTAGTCATGATAAAACAGAAGGTGAGATGTGGCGGTTTGGGGTTTCAACTTCCGACGGCTGACTGTGTCTCGACAGAATTGATATATGCCTCGATACTTACATGCAATACTAGGTACATTGACCAAATGCGAGTACGTAGAAATGATGCATGCCATTAGTTGGGCCTCTTGAATGCGGGGCAAGGACGAGACTGCAGCGGCTATGACGACAGCATGCTCCAGGGGCGATGTGAACCCTACGAGGTACAAGTACTCGGTACAAGTACCAGGCACTAGGTAGGCACCTGGGCTGCTGCTTATCCCGCCTTCAACGCTCTCTACCGGTCAGACTCCTGGGGCCGGTTGAGCCCGTCGATCCGGCCGCCACTGCCTGGAACCGCCAAACCTTAGGTGACGAAGATACGCGTCCCATGCATGACTGCGCGCGCCACTGGGGTCCTGATATGTCAACAAACAGTGCGGTTTGAGTTGGGACTCAGCTCTACTTGATATTCTTATATATCACAACGAGAGGATCGATGCCAGTCCGCAATCTTTTACCGGAGTCGAAAATAATAAAGCTAAGCTGTGTAGGTGACGTTGCTACAGAGATCGATCGAGTGAGAGGAGCGAGCCCGTTGATTCTGCCGACTTCGTTCCCCTTTTCGACCTCGAATCTGGCACTAGCGTCTGGATGCAATTTCACGACCCAACCTGCTTCAACCTGCCCTTTGATGACCGACCATCAACTACCATGGCCAGGCTCATCTTCCTTTGCACTGTTTGCAGTTGTTCTGTGCTATACTGATTGCTTTGATCTTTCGTCGCTCCTTACCATATCACTTGGACTTATCAACCTGTCTTTCGCTGCTTGTGAACATTTGCCATCCCCTTCTGTGCCACACGCCCACCTCTTGGGTTGTGCCACGACCGTTGCTCGCATCCCGCTAGCCAGCCATCCTGTGCTTCCCCAATTCGACGTCTTCAGTGACAATCGAGCAGCCATGAGCACGGATCTAGACCTGTCATCCTCCAGTCTCCCTTCTCGATCGCCCTCGACCTCGCCGAATTTACTCGCAACTCCTGACTCCTCCGCCCTCTTGACTAATCGATCCTGCTCCGGCGTCTCGACGATTTCGAGCCGATCATCGTACTCCAATGGCTCAACGACATCTCGAACGAGCACATACTCCCGTCGTCGTGGCTATGTACGTCCTCAAGGAGGATCATTTGCCGAATCAGCCAAAAATCGTGAGAGCGTCATGAGCCTCGGCAGTATCGCCCATCTGCAATACTATTTCGCTCGAACGGGATTGTTAGATGGCAAGGGAGGGCAAATGGCAAAAAAGAAGCAGAATGGTGAATACGATATCCCAAAGCTCTCGTTAACCGCGAATCAAGAACTCGTTGAATCTCCAATCGAGGATGAGTCTCAGGCCTCCTGGGACACTTTGACTGAGGATGGCACGGATGTCATGTTACCCCCAACCGTATCCACATACAGTGATCGATCAACATATGTGGCTCCACCGCCCGATCAGAAAACCATGAAGAAAGAACTCGTGGAAGCTTTAGAAAATGCATTACAAGCCGTTGAGTCCTGTGAAGGCCCGGCGAGTAGCAGTCCCGGAGATCCGACACCAGGATTTTACGAAATTCAGGGACTGCATGTCCTTGACACGACCACTCAAGCAATTCGAGCCGCAAGACTTTATTACACTCTGCATCCCAATCCCCAGAGACTGAACTCTATCAAGTCGGACCAGGAATTGAGAAGGGACCTATACTCTGTGCTCGATGTCCTGAAGAAATGTGCTTCTCGAAACTTCGCGGGTGGATTTCGTGAGGATGAGAGACTCGCCGTGTTGGTTTGGGTGAGTGATGTTGGCATGATGATCGACCAAGAAGCGAAACTGGAGGAGGCGGACAAGACGGAAAGAAAGGACTGGCACTGGATGGACGATGCCAAGTGGGTTGGTCGAGAGCAAGAACGGGATATCAACTTCCTCAACTTCTTGCTCCACGGCAAGGGACAAAGCCCATCGCTTGAGAAAGCCGATGTCACGCCCGAGTTTTTCCGTTATCTGGCTGATGGCAGGGATCTTGTGAAAATGCACAACGCCGCTGTCAAACGATCCAAGCGGCAATTCGACTTTATCAAATCCTTTCACGAAGACGTGGCAAAACCGTACAGGCGTGCAGACAACCTTCGCTTTTGGCTGAAGGCCGCGGAACTCAGATGGGAGCTCAAGCTTCAGCTCGACGTGATGGCTGTTGCAAATCAGGTTGAAACCGTCAGCACTTGGTCATCGTTCGAGAACATTGTTCGACAATGGAGCCGTGGAGTAAGGGCCGAACTTACCAAGGACTGGAACGGTGAAGAAGAACGCAAACTACATGCGCGCGCAAGAAGCCTGGCGATGGCGAGTCCACTGTCGAGCCCTTCGAGGAAGAACTCTCCGGCTCCACCTCTCCCAAGTCCGCTCAAAACGGTGATTGTACCAAGCCCTGTCAGCAATCCATCTGAAGGATCTGCGACATCTGATGATCCAGACAGCCCGACACCAAAGCCGTTGTCAGTGGCTTGCGGTAAAGAAGTCTAAGCTAGTGGATGAGGTGACGGAGGCATGCCCTCTTATTTTGGACAAGACTTTTTTTTGAAGCGAACCGGATGTATTATGATACCCACGCATTTTAAGGAGCAAGCGCTAGTATCTGGAGTGGCATTGCCTTCGACTTCCGACGAGAATTGGAGGGCTTTGCTGATGGAATTCTACATAGTTTACACCATTCCCCCAGGTTAACATTCGACAGGGGCATTTAGCCATTAGCCATTTTGACAATATCAGTTTCAGCACCGGCAAGGAGCATTTGTTGGCGAACTGGCTGTTAAGCAAGCATTATTGATGCATAGTGATTCAGTCTTGATTCCATTAAAAAGAGTACCTGATACATGCACTCGGTTCTTTGCAAAGTATTTTCTAGTTATTTCAAAAACCCCCCATTCGTCTTTGCGAGCTGCTCATCGTAGTACCCCTGGAAGGCGAGCCAACCCTTTTCGTCCGTGCCGACCTGCGAGTAGGAGAACTCGGCCTCGACATCGGAGATGAGCTTCTTCTTGTGGCCGCTGCCGGCGCTGGCGGCGTCGGCGAGCAGTTGGGCGTGGCAGGTCTTGTCGAGCGAGATGAACCAGAAGGCGGCGGCGTCGACCTTTTATTTGCCAGAGGGTGATACCATCAGTAATAAGATCCAGCAAAAAGGGAATCCGTGGGAAGGGAGGGAGGGAGAGAGAATGAAACACACCGTCTTCGCCACGGTCAACAACCCATGATTCTGCAGGATGACTGCTTTCCCGTTCCCCAGCGCTTTGGCGATCCTCTTCCCCTCCTCGCGGTCCAGGACCACGCCCCCAAAGTTGTCGTAGACGGCGTGGCTCTTGTAGAACCGCAGGGCGTCCTGGGTCATCATGTCCAGCTCGCGGCCGAAGACGGAAAAGGCCTTGCCGTAGACGCTGTGGGCGTGGCACGCGGCGTCGACGTCCGGGCGCGCCTTGTGGATCTCAGAGTGGATGGCGAAGGCGGCGGCGTTGATGGGCTCGTCGCCCACGACGACCTCGCCTTCTTCGTTGACCAGGATGAGGTCCGAGACGCAGATCTGAGAGAAGTGCTGCGAGAGGGGGTTGAGCCCTGCCGACATGAGTCAGTAAAGACAGTTTCCCTTCATCGTGTTATTTCCATTCTCCCTCGTTCTTTTCGTTAGACAGTCACCTTTCTTTCACACGTCCATCCTCTCTCCTCTCTGTCCCACGAATCTCATACCTACGCCCCTGCCCCTTCCCCACACCACGTCCAGAGGAGGTAAAAAAAAAAAAAGAAAACTCACAGAAATGATCCCTCAAAATCGGATCCCGCACCGAGATATGCCCCGCGACGCCCTCGTCGAACCCGCGGTCTGCAAAGACGCGAAACGCCGCCGCCAGGTGCTGCTTGCGGTACAGGCGCTCCTCCTCGAGCGAGTCGAATTTCGGGTACGAGCGCACGCGGAGTTTCTTGCCGGACGTGGTCGCTCCCAGGGCGCCGACGGAGCGGTTCTCGGCCGACGAGTGGTCGTAGACGTCGAGGGCGGGGGACATTTTTGCTTTTGTTCCTTGCTATCGCTTTAAGAGGCGGAGGGGTGAAGAGAGGAGTGTATACAGGTAGAATTTGACGCAGAGGTGTCTGGGTGTGAGGGATCGAGTGATATATATAATATATGTATGTAAGAGACTGGCTAGTTCAGGACTGGCTTTGACTTTGACTCTTGAGTTCTCTTTCTGAAAGGGCTTTTATTCAATTCCTCGGTTTTGACTTGGGTATACCGAGTAATGGTATTCTTCTCCTTGATCAAAAAAAGACTCCAAAAGAGAAAAAAGCAAGATAAATGGAGAAATATGTTATCTCTCTCCCCTTCCTCCCTCTCTCCTCTCCATACATACAGTAGGTACGGCTCATCGGCTCGGCATAGACACCGTGGGATCAGACAAGACAGATGCGGGGAAGAAACCACCATATGTACAACCCTGGGGAACAATTGATATAGGTCGATGATCATTGGTGACGAAGAGGGGGAATCCAGGACTGGAGATTCCCACTTTCCGACGGAAAGGCGAGGCCAGTTGATGATGTGCCGGTGGAAGGAAAAGAGACGACGACAACAACAATGATACAGTCCAGTGACAAGACCAACCACATACCTACCCTACAGAATACATGATACCTTACGACCCTATCCGGTACCCCTTTTACCACTACTCATACCTACGTTGCCCTCGTAGAGTTACGGATATCCATACGATTTCGGGATATTCACCACTTCCTCACCTCCTTACCCTCTACACAATTCTACGGTCGCACACTTTGTAAGAATTCACCATCTCATTTTCTACACAAATTCTGTCAGATGCACATCACGGCATTCAGGCGCCTGGCGAGTCAGTAAACAATCCTGTCTCCCCACCCCTTTGTTGCTCCTCCATTGATCGTGTGCTGCATCGAAATCATCTTCCCATGAACAGAAAATTGAACTTGAATCGAATCGAACCGAACCGACAATTCCCACATGGAGCCGACCCTGGTCCATTATCGTCATATCTCTTTTGACCAACGCCGACCCAAACCCAGCCATATTCAAAACAACCCTTGATGTCCTTCAAGCTTCCATTCCCTTGCCCCCCCATCAACCATCAACGCGATCGTCCTCATTATTAGTCTCGTTCCTCCTCACGCATACATGCTCTTGGTCTTTCGATGCCGCTCCTCCCGTCCGACCGTCCCCTTCATTGGACTGTGCGTCTGGCCCATTCCGCCACCTGCATGGTACGTCTCCGTTCGTTGATGACCTGCCTTGGGCCGTTGCACTGCGCCTGCTGCTGTCTTCATCTTTTTCTCCCGCCGGAGCACCATTTCTGCCCATCCTTTAACCGGGGCCGAGTTGCTCTGGACGCCTTTGCCTACGACCTGCGACAGCGCTTGCATCCATTGCTCTTTCTCGGCTGTCGAATCGGCATAGAAGTCGATAACTTCTCCGTTGGCAAAGCGGATCCGGAATCCTTCCTCCACAAACATGTATCCTTCTTCCTCTTCCGCGAATCCACTCTTGCGCCGTCCACCTCCCTTGGTTGAAGTCTCTCTCTGCGTCAACGCCGTCTTGTCGTCAATGAGCCGCGTAGCTTTCGCAAGGTTGATGGTTGCCCGGGGTTGAAGCGTTGTTTCATGGAATGCCGTGAACTTGGTCCCGGCGAGCTTGAAAAACCGTCGTCTCCAGTACTAAGATTCGTCAGCATACTTCCCTCAATAGGTTTTTCAATGGGCCTCCACAAACCGGACAATCGCCTCCCTGTTGGCTCAGGTAACCCTCAAACTCCTGAATAGTTGCTTGTTGTGCCAGACGTTCTTCAGCCTCCCGCAAGGCCCGAATCGCGCCATTCATACTCTTGGGCATATCATCGTCCTTGGCTCCTCTCGGTTTCGGCACATACAACAACTGCAGTTCGAGTTTGCCAATTTCATAAGGTGGCCGACGCTGGAGCTGCGTCACGCTCTTCTTGCTTCTCGAACTGCCCACATGGACTTCTTCCACCGCCCACTCGTTGAAGCAGGTGATGTCCACGGTGTACGGTCTGCCGTATGCGTGCTTTTCATGCTCGCTGAGCGAAATGTAAGCTCGAGCAAATGAGCCGTCCTTGGCCACCAGGCCTTGAACCAGTTCATACGCCGAAGGTGGTGTCACTGGCCTTCTGACCGCCTGGGCTTCTTGCTGAGCTCGCACTTCCGACTCTTTCTTCTTCTTCGGCGACCCAAAAAACCTCCCGAAGGCTCCTTGCTTCTTAGGCGATGCGGGCGGTTTCGATGGCGATTGCGGCCGTTCCACCTTTGGCTCCTCCAATTTCATCTGCAGTGTGAGTTGGAATTCAAGCTCATTGAGGACAATCAGCTCAAATTCCTGTCCAATAGGTGCACTTCGAGCCAGATCGAGCCAAGCTGTCGTCACACAGTGCATACCATTGTCGAGCGTGAGGGCAAAGAAAGTGCGTTCGTCTATTCGTGATCAGCATCAAGTCCTTAATAGAATCAGAAAACAGCTTACGTTGGGGAAATGGCATCTGCAGGTCCTTGACACCGACCACCTTGACAAAAAGTCGGCCACGTTCGGCTCCATCCTCCCACTCCTCTTCCTCTCCGATGTCATCTTCAGCAACAGCGTCAAGGCCCTCCTGAGCATTGCTTGCCTGTCCTGGAAGAGGTGGCACAGGGCCCTCGACTGGCTTCCTCTTACTGACAGCCTTTTCCCCGCCAACTCGAATACTCTTACGCCGAACCTTACCGTTCCATGGCTCAGCAGTCCAGGTGGGCTGACTCGTCTTGCGCGGTGACGCATGGACCTGGTTGGCTTCCGCGGGGATGCCGAGCAGACCATCTTCAGTCCCCGGAAGGCCAGGAGATCTGCACTCATCTTGAGAGATTCGTTCGCTGGCGACGACAATCTTGGTGTTTTGTCTCATCAGGTATCCTCTCTGTCGACGGCCAGCTCGATTAGCAAATGACTCTTCATCAATACATCTGTCGGGAGAAATAACAACATGTGCCGCACGTAGGGGACGCGCTCCACGAGGTTTGGGGAGAACAGGGATGTTCTCCATTGGGTTGCCTCCTTTCAACTCCATTGCCTCGGGCAGCTCACTGGAGGGGAATCGTCCGTGAAAAGGGTAATAAAGACGTTGCAATGAGAGTTCAAACTCTACCTTTTGGGCTTCTACTACCCGGTCAAATTCCTTCTCGAGACCCAATCCCAGGCCTTCGTCCAATCCTGTGTGGGGGATATCCAACGGCAGCAGGCTACTAGTCCGCTTCTTTTCGCCTTCTTTCTTGTCTGCTTCGGGTTGTTTCTCATCTGCTGCTTCTGGAAGCGTGGAATTGTTCTGTGCTATTTCGGCGCTTTGATCGAAAGTGTCCGAGATGGGGGACACAGGTGACATCTCCTTCTCATGCACCAAAACCGAACCCGTATCGGAGGGGCTAATTGAACGGTCACTTTGTGCTTGTGCAGCCAAATCATCCACTCTTGGGTCCATGCCGACATGGCTAGGCGACTCTGCATGTTCGACGGGGTGTCTAACCACAGAATCAGGGGTTCCTGGTGCTGCATGTTCTGGGCTGGATTTTGCGGGGCTTTGGAATGATGTGAGCTGAACTTCCGGAGTGTATGATCGCTGAATTGACTGGCGGAGAGCAGCGAGGTCTGGCAGTTGAGATGGTGCCGCGACAACGGTGGCTTGTTTCGCACTCTCGTCCTTCTGGGTCAGATACGGAGCCAGGCCGATATCGAAACTGCTTGTGTCGCCAAAGTCAGTGAAATCTGGCAAAGACACACGTTCAGTCGTTGTGGGCTTTGCGTTCAACTCTCGAGCTGGACTCTGTGCTTTGGGAGTGTCGTCTCCTTCCTCAGCCATTTGAGGGAAAAACGATGCTTGTGAGGGTTGCGAATATTGGCTTGTGAGGTCGTCATCATGGTTGGTGCTAACGTCTGAACCGGAAGCAGTACGTCCCATGTACATATCCGGGATTGAGTACAGGTCAGGCTCTTCATCCTCCTCCATTTTGATACGTGGTTGTGTAGGATCCTCCAATGAGGGTATTGGAACATCAGGATCAAGAGAGGAGAGATCCCGCTGTCGAGACGTCTCTGCAATCTCCTCGCTGCCTTCTCGACTATCAACGCCGACTCGACCACGCAGACCTTCAAGGATTGATGCCCTTGACAGCTGTGGGGTCGAGTTTCCTGATTCAGACTGGATTGGCTGTGAATCGCCAGCAAGCGAGTCTTCGTTACTAGTGCTCCGAGAGGGGACAGCGTCTTTGGAAGCCATTCGCCTCATCCGACGTTCTCTCTCCTGTTCCTGGAGTGCCATCAATCTCAATCTGTCATCCGCTGATAGGGAACTCCCACTCCCGATCTTTTGAATGTCCGCCTTTGAAAAGCTGGCTGCCAATGGTGGGCTTGGAAGAGATCGTGACGCGACGCTTATACGCTCAAAAGCACCGGACAAGCTGTCAGACCTGGAGTGGCCTTGTGATCCGATCATGGGCGGAAGCGGTGGGAGAGGGCGAGACTGTCCGTTAGAGTCGATTGAGCTTGCACTTGTCTGATGAGGGCGGTAAGATGGAATACTTGGCTGGGCGGTCGGGGCAGGACTGCCGCAGTCATCTTCGAAGACGTCTTCTTCAAGATGAGACAGGTCTGTGTTGGCATTCTCGGGGCTCATGAAGCGCCAGTCCTCGGGCAGAACCACTGGTGTCTTCTCAGTATCCTCAAGGGACGCGTCAAAGCTGTCATCGTGATCCATTGACGAAACCCTCTCCAAGCTTGCCTCCTCGTCCTCATCTTCATCCTCGTCGTCCTCATCGGTGGACTCATAGCTACCCTCGCGCGATCCGGACGCAATTGACGAAGGGGCTGGTGTAGTCATCTCGTACTCATTGATCTGTGGAGGCGCCTGGTCAAAAGTGACGCTTTTTTGATGACGGTGCAACCCACGGCCAGCCGGCAGTTGTCTGTCTCGAAAGTCGTCATCGTCTTCCCAAATGCCGGTCTCAGGGTTAAAGCCACTGCTTCTGAATGCTGACCCGGTTTTCTTTGACAAGGACGACTTTGCTGGCGAGCTGTTCAATCGACTTGGCGAGAGAGGGGTGACTGGATTGGTTGTATCTTTAGCTTCCTCTTGTTGCTGCTTCTCCTGCGATTGAAAGGATGCGGCCTTGTCCAGTGGGGCAATGTTTTCTTTTCGCACAGCATCGGGACTTCGAACTGGCGAGGACTGCCGTAGAAACTGCATGCTCTGAGGGCGACCGTCCAGAATTGATGGACGCGAAGGATCATAGTGAGTACTCTGCTCGAGGGCAAACATGCTACTGTTTTTCACCCTCGAGGCCTTCTTTAGGTTCTCAATGGAGGAGCGCTTTGGTGGGGAGGAGGCAGGAGGAGTTTCGGTGTTGTCTCTCGCGGGAGAGCTGGGATCGCGGCCCTGCCAGAACAGACGTGGTGAACTCGAAGAAAAAGGTGAAGAGCCTATTGGAGAGGTTTCGTTTGAGAGTAGCTTGCCCTGCGAACGGATCAGATTTGGGCTTGGCCTGATGGTGACTGACATACCTTTGGTTGCGGAAAACTTGGAGAGTTTCTGCGAATTGCCATAGGGCTCAGTTCGGAAAGAGGACGATTACTTATTCGCGGCAGTTTAGATGGCGAAGAGCTGGGCCCATTTCCGCCGCCCTTTTGGATGCGCAAAGGTGGGACCTGAAATAGAGGATGAGCACAACAAGGTCAATCTCAACAAGTTTCGTCTTTACCTCGGAGGCCATAGCATAGGGCAGGAGAGCTCGACAATGGCTTTGTGTATGTAGCGGATGTCGAGCTCAGACCAACAATCAGGCAATAGTTGGCCGAGTTGAGGAGTGAAGAATCGATGGATGGGTAGCGCGCGAAGTTGGAAAGAATGGCAGAGTGTCTGTGCTGAGCCTGATGAGGCAGACCAGCTGCGGGTAGGTAGAAATGATAGCAATAAACGCTGTGGCAAAGGACTGTGAGCTACAGTTTAACTACCCAACTGCGACCACAATCGAGACCACTCTTGAAGAAGAAGTAGTCAGCAGAGAAGTATCTCGTTGAGAGTGTTAATCTTCAACGTTTGTCTGATGGTATATGCGAAACTTAAGTGGTCGCCCCACGGCGATTTGACTGGGGAATAACAACAAAGCCCACGACACCACCGGTTGCTAGGCAACACCCTGGCGGTGATGTCCACCTGAGACACACCCCAACCTGTGGCGCCGGATTTGCAGGGGTGTCCTCGCCTAAACTACAGTGGACCGCGAAACCGCGCTGCGCAGGGAAAAAAAAAGTTCAATATCACAACGGTGCTGTTGGATGGTTTCTACACCTTCCTCCCATTTTCGACAGCATTTCGCCACAATCCGTCGATGTCGTCCTCCGCCGCCATATGCCCTTCTTGCCAGTTTCGAACATTAATTTCTGCGCTCAGGCCGCCAACGCGACGATGGCAGCCTCAGAGGTATATGGCACTAGCCATGCGCCAACGGAGAAAACCTTCCAGGATGACTCTTACACAAGATGTTGGGAAGACAGACGCGGGCAGAAGGGTTGCGAAGAGGGACACAGCAGGTCCATTTGCGGGAATGAATCAAACTGTGGCACGATTGCCTGTTACAAGACCACCTCGAGCGGTTCCGACCCGGGTCGGAATGGCCCTTAGATCGAAGCTCAAAGAGCGAGCCGCCGCAACCAAGTTGCGCACGAACACTGCAGCCCCTCGTAACGAAGAGGACCATGTTGCTGTCCCATCGACTTCATCCTTCAAGAAGAAGGAGAAAAGGGACAAAGACGAACGACCGCTCTTCCACGCATTGAAAATGCAGCAGATCCTTACTCCCCTATCCTACGGGCAACGCACGAAACTCAAGCAGCAAATGGAGAAAATCGAGTCCTTTGAAGAGCTAGGATTGATGCCTTCGGTCGTTGACTCTATCTACACCCAAGTCCTGCCACATCTGACAGAGTATACGCCCACACCTGTCCAAAAGCTGGCAATTCCCGCGCTGCTCAGTAAAAAGGGCGAGTATCAAAAACAGAAGCAGGTGGATGTAGACGGAATGCCAACCCAGAATAAATACAAGACATTCCTTCTCGCGGCAGAGACTGGTTCAGGGAAGACGCTGGCGTACCTACTACCCGTCATCAATGCCGTCAAACAACAAGAAGAAGCGGATCGCAACGAAGAGCTCCAGCGGGAAGCCCGCAGGGTTGAAGAAAGTGAAGGGAGAGACAAGAACCGCGTTTTCGAAGCAGACCCTTCCGAAACCGATGAATTACCATCAAACCAATCTATTGGCCGGCCTCGCGCCCTCATCCTTCTTCCCTCGTCCGAACTCGTTGCGCAGGTCACGAAGGTGGTCAAAATTATCGGCCACACGGTCAAATATCGCTCTGCGGGCATTTCTTCCTCCAATACACCCACCGTCATTCGCAACCGCCTCTTCAACCCCCAGGGTATAGATATACTAGTTTCCTCTCCTCATTTAATCGCCAGCATCGCCAAAAAGGAGCCAAATATCCTGTCCCGCATTCAATACCTCGTCATGGATGAGGCTGACTCCCTTTTTGACCGCTCTTTCAGCGAGACAACGTGCGAAATCATCGATCGTGCCGCCCCCTCATTGAAGCAACTGGTCCTCTGCTCGGCCACGATTCCAAACAGTCTTGACAGGTTCATTGACAAGAGGTTCCCCGATTGCAAACGCATCGTTACACCTAAACTACATACGATTCCGCGTCGAGTTCAATTGGGTGCTGTGGATATCGACAAAGATCCCTACCGTGGCAGTCGCGATCTGGCGTGTGCCGACGTGATTTGGACACTTGGGAAGGCTGTACACGAAGACCTTAACCCCAAGAATACAGTGAAACACATCCTTGTCTTTGTCAACGAACGCGAAAAGGCGGAAGAAGTTGCCCGGTTTCTAGTAACAAAGGGAATCGAAGCCGTCGCGCTGACGAGAGATACTACGGAGCAGCGTCAAGCTGAAATCCTCGCAACATTCACCTCTGTTGAGCGCGTCGAGGGCTCTTCCAAGCCGTCCTCCTCCCCAGCTTCGGCCTCCAAGAAACTGTTCAAAGACTTTGTTCCTTTCGACCGTTCGTCTACCCCTGCGACTTCTGGGGCAAACCCGACCCAAACATCCAGGCCTCCAAGGCATCTCCCGGACGTTAAGGTTCTTGTGACCACCGACCTTGGTTCACGCGGCGTCGATACCCTCGCAGTCCGCCACGTGGTATTGTATGATGTTCCGCATACTACAATCGACTTTGTCCACCGGTTAGGACGGATGGGCAGGATGAATCGGCGAGGAAGAGGGATTGTGCTGATGGGAGGCAAAGATCGAAAGGACGTCATCAGGGAAGTCAGGGAGGCTATGTTTAGAGGGCAGGCTCTGATATGAAGACATCCAAAGAATAGAGACTTGGATGATGTCCAAAATGAACCACGTAAAACTACCGCTCGCTCCGTTCAGCCAGAGAATTCCACATGCAATTATACTCTGGTGCATCGATTGAAGCCGCAAGTCTCCACTGAACGATAGTAGTCGTTAACGTTAAAACTCGCCAAACAATGTGCATTTCCCAAGTCCGCTTAGCCTGATCTCTCTTGTAGAAGGGTTCCATATAATACCGAGTACCCCATACTGTGTCCGGTTTTGAATCTGGTTGGAAAACGGCCTTGTTTCGGTGCCAAGCCTGTGGGGAAAACGTGACGAGGCTGAGAAGAAATTTTGTTTTTGCCATCGCTTGCCAGACACATCTATCATTCCATGTACTGGGTAATTTCGGGCGTTTCGGGTGCTTTTATTTGCTCAGCGCTGCGCGGTGTTCCCTGTTCCTCATGCATAGCGAAAAATACGCGCATTGCAAAACTCCCATCAGCACTGAGGTGCTAGAAAGAAAGAAAAAACGATGCTCCGTAAAGGAACCAAGAGATCTGCAGATGAAGCATTCCCGTCAAAGTCCGCATCTGTAAAGGACAAGTTGGAACGCCACAGGTCTAAATCTGCACAGAATGGGGCGACAGGTAAGACTGTCGATTTTGAGGAACGGCAAGGGAAGGACGACAACCTGAAGGGCGGTAGCAAGACCCTGAGCTTGAGAGAGCGGGCTCGCCTTTTACTGCCAGCCAGACAAAAATTACCCATCTACAGCAGCGCCGATCAGATACGCCAGAAGGTCAGGGATCATGATGTGCTGCTACTTGTCGGAGAGACAGGGTCGGGCAAGTCGACGCAGATTCCACAGTTCCTGGTGAACGAACCATGGTGCCAAAAGAGGAAGACCGGCGGGGGCGTTAATGTTGGAGGGTGCATTGCCATCACACAACCCCGGAGAGTGGCGGCCATCTCCCTTGCTCGTCGTGTGGCCGAGGAGATGGGCACACCGCTGGGAAACTCGAGTCCTGCATCTGAAGTCGGATACTCTGTGCGGTTCGAAAACAGCACGAGTCCCTCGACGAGGATCAAGTTTTTAACAGAGGGTATGCTCTTACAAGAGATGCTGCGGGATCCTTGGTTGAGGGAGTACTCAGCCGTCGTGGTCGACGAGGTTCACGAGCGCGGAGTTAATGTGGACCTGGTGTTGGGCTTTCTCAGAAGGATGCAGGATCTGAGAAACAAGAAGGATGGCAGGGGTGGCGTTCCATTGAAGGTTGTGGTCATGAGTGCAACGGCAGACATGGAGAAGATTCAGAACTTCTTCAGCACGAGTCAGGAAAAGCACGAAGGTCAACCCGATGCCGATGTCGAGTCTCATGGAGCAGAAGACGACTGGTCTGGTTTCTCTGATGAAACAGATGCTGTTGACCGAAAAGATACCAAGCCCGACCCTGTCAACAGCAATAGTGTTGCGAAGGATAAGGCTAGGACTGATAGCTCCTGCAAAGCAACATCGCTTTTCATTAAAGGCCGTCAATATCCTGTGACCGTCAACTATACACCAACGTCGGTGCCAGATGTCATCGATGCGGCATATCAGCGAATCCTGGACATCCACACTCACAGTCCTCTACCAGGCGATATACTCGTGTTTCTCACTGGTCAAGAAACCGTCGAATCTCTGCTCGGTCTTGTGAGCTCGTGGTCACTCTCGGTTCAGAAAGACCCCAAGCAGGCTGCGACGCTTCCCAAAATCCTCGTCCTCCCACTTTACGCAGCTTTACCTTCGAACGTGCAACAACGTGTCTTCCAACCAACACCAAAGTTGACACGCAAGGTGATATTAGCAACAAACATCGCCGAGACCAGTATCACGGTGCCTGGAATTCGATATGTAATTGACACCGGAAAGGCGAAGCAGCGACTCTTTCGCCCTTCCCTAAATTTGGACACTTTACTGACAGTGCCCATCTCTCGCAGTTCCGCCAATCAGCGATCTGGACGGGCCGGACGAGATGCCCCGGGAACTGCATACAGGTTGTACACTGAAGCGGATTACTACCAACTGGCCCAGGATACCGAACCTGAAATCCTGCGCTGCGACCTCAGTCAGCTTGCACTCACACTCAAGGCGCACTCGATTGACAATTTGGGTGACTTCCCATTCCTGACGGCTCCGCCACGAAGGGCTCTCGAGAGGGCGATGATACATCTCCTCCAGCTCTCTGCATTGGATACCTCGAACGGGCAGATCACACGTCTGGGACAAGAGATGAGCGTCTTACCATTGCCTGCGAGCTTGGCGAGAGTCCTCCTTGCCAGCGCAGACCCAGCATATGATTGTGTCGAGGAGATTATTGATATCG